TTGCATGTTTTCAGTAAGACAGAATGTTGTTGAGGGTAGGTAGGGGTTGGGGGTGTATCATGACTGTTCTTTGATGTCTTTACTAACATTTTTGTCCATTACTGAAACATGTTTATGTGATATTTTAGGAAACAGAAGGAGGCCAACATAGAAGACGTGATACAGTGACTTACAGCAGCCTTGTGCACACTGATCATCATTGAGTTAGCAATCATTATTGGACTTTAGCCTACTACTGAACTCTAATAACAACTGTTGTGAAATCAAGTTTCTGTGCACATTGCTTTGCTTCTGTAGCCAGCAAGTTATACAATGTATTGATTTTTCTACTTTTCTGAGAAATCAAATTAGTGAAGTACCTGTGTAGATCTGCAAAACGATGAAGTCTAACGTTTATGAGTTTTTATTTATTTATTAAGTATTTATGAGTATTCATCGATGTTTACCTTTATATGTGATATTATTTTTGTGACTAGTCACAATCTGAATTCCATCCATTTATTTTTCTTATAATTTATTTTTACATGTATTTGCTTTTTTTTAATACAAAGAAATGTCTTTTTTCTGTATAAAATTAGTTTAAAGTAATTCCCAGATCTCTGTTAATTTCCTACTAAACTGAAAATGTCTTATTTTAAATTTGATATAATTAATACTTGAATGATAATCTCTATAAATTGGTTGTGAAGAGTTTTATGTTTATAAATTATGATGTGAATACATGCATTCATATATGAAGTACAAAGAAAATAAACATTTATTTCTTCCCATTGGCATGAATTCTTAAATAAATTATAAAAAAAAATGTATATAGCTGTCTTTATTTACTACATGTTTGGTTAGGACTGATACATGTACATTGTACATGCACTTCAAGATAGCTGTATATTTTTGATCTATTGAAAATTAATACATGTACATGTATGTCAGTTCTGTTGAACTTTAAATTAAATGATTAACTTACCAGAAGAAAAAGCCATACTGGGTACTCTGGTTCATCTTTAGTTATCATGCTAGAAAGGTCAAGATCACAATTGTGGTGGGTATGATATCTACAGGAAGAGGGTCATTTAACTTTCAGTTTTAAATTGCCAAAAGTTTGTAGCTGAATAGAAAAACAAGTCAAGGTCACAATTACATATTTCAACTGTTTTAATGTGATGTTAGGAAGGAAACCTTAATTTTTGACCTTTCAAAAGGTTAAGGACTGAATATAAGTTAATCATATAATATAATGTATACCATTTATGCTTATTTATTAGGGAATTGAAAGTCAAAGTTCAGCAGTATGTAACTCCATGGGTTTCAATTAATATAAATGTCTGGAAAGAAAGTAATTTCAACAAAGTGAATAATTAGGCCCCCACTGCTTTGGTGTTCTGTAGTGATCAGTCTGACTGTCCATCCATCAGTCCATCCAATTTCTTTTTGCAGAGAACATTTTTCTCTCTGCTTGGCCTAGATGAACTCAACCCATAGAGTGCCCATGGAGATCAAATATCAAGGTTAAAAAACATCTCTTTGTAAAATCATTGTCTGGAGCATATTTTCTCTCACCTTGAGCCCAGTTTGGCTTAAACTTCACCCATAGAGGGCCCATGGGTAGTGGGTGTTTAGTGGCCTTGACATTTTCTAGATAAAGTCAAGGTCAGAAAATCTTTGCATAAAATCCCTGTCAATAGTTTATTTTTTTATCTCTGAGGTCCAGTTGAACTCATTCTTCACCCATAGAGTGTCCATGGGTTGAGGGTGTTCATTGACCTTGAATGAATTAACTGGTGAAAGGTCAAGGTAAGAAATTTCTTTGTGTTAAATCCTTGTCTGGAGCATATTTTCTCTCCCCTTGGCCCAGTTATGCTCATACTTCACCCATTAGAGTGCACATGGGTTGACGGTGTGCAGTGACCTTGAACAAAATTTTTAGATGAAAGTTCAAAGTCGAAAATCTCTTTGTGTGAAATCCTTTTCCTCTCCTCTCTCCTTGGCCCATTTGGACTTGTACTTCATCCATAGAAAGCCTGTGGATAGAGTGTGCATAGTGTACTTGAGCCAATTTTCTAGAGGAAAGGTCAGAAAACCTCTCTGTGTAAAATCCTTTTCTGGAGCATATTTTCTGTAACAGGCCCCATCTGACTCAAACTTTACCCAAAGAGTGCCCTTGGGTAAAGGTATAATGCCCTTTGTTAAAATAGAGCTCTTAGGGATGGTCACCAACTCAGCTAAATGATCTATGAGGACCCCAGATTTTTATAGGCATTGGTAGCATCTGATAAATAATAAATATCCAGGCTGATAAGCATTACCTTACATGCACTGACAGACGGAAATGTCTAAAGCTTCAAATCCACCATATAATAAATCATTTTATCAAACAAAACAAAACAGTTTTTGTGTTACCGGTTTTTATTAATCTTTAACAGAAACAAATGTAAGGACATAACAAGGTACTTGGTCTAGGGGTTCTAATGTTAGAAGGAATATAAAAGTTAGGGAGTGTTGTCTTGTTCACACCATTCAGGAAACTCAGATGTAAATAATACAGGATACATTACAAAGTGATAAGATATTCTTTGATGTACATAATTATACAGGACAGTTTTTATTTTTAATGTGGGTGTTAAAAAAAATCCTGATATCCCACAGACTTTGTCTTCCCTGTACCACAGCATATAAAATGTAATATTGAAATATATGTCAGAGAATTTAATGTATTTTTTCAACTTACATTTAATATACTGGTTGCTTTCCACAAAGAATCTTATAGAATTTGTTTTTGTTGTGATAAAAAATATTCTTAAACTTTTTTCATTTAAAAAAAAAAAGCTGTTTAATTAAACTTCCAAAAAAAAAATTCTCTATAGATTTTTTTAAAATTGCACAAGAACTATCTGTCTAGACTAGAAATACTATTTTACCCGTAAATGAGTTATTTAAGGAATAACTGTCTAATTTTTTGGTTTCATGATGTGATCAATCGATTGGCTTGAGTGATAATTTGCATAAATGCCGATGGCGTTTATGCATAAAATTATCACGCAAGCCAATCGATTGATCATCTTCATGAAACCAAAAAATCTGACAGTTATTCCTTATATTTACATGCTCTTGATTCTGCAAATTCACGAGCTACAAGCCCCGCTTCTGTCTCTATTTTTCCCGCCCCGCATGTGATTCTTTTTAACCACGCCTATCGATGAATCAGTAGATTTATGTAGAAATAAAGTATTTTTACTATTTGTAGTTTTATCTCGGACAAAGACATTGGAAATGTAAATATTTCGTTATAAACATCTCGTTATCACAGGCACTGTGCAATAAATCTATCTACAACACTTCTATGAACAACCTGTGCTTTTCAATTTCGGCGATGACATTAAATTAACTTATTAATTTTGTGACAAATTAAGACATGCGACTTAACCACACTGCAAAAATGAGATCTGTGAGATAAAGGGTGAGGGGTGGGGCTGTAAACAGACATGGTGACGAATTGACAAACGTAAAGTAGTAAAGTAAAAAGCATGACCAGAATAGTGGAAAGTTTCGAACATGATTTGTGGCAGTTAAATGTGACTGTATAAAAATTTCTATTGAATTTCAATATACAAATTTTATGAATCTGGAAGAAAAGAGATTATAAAAAATAATACTAACTATAACTCCATAGCTTTGGTTAGATTTCTTGATGAATCAAATACATACAATGTAGAAGCTAGTACAGCTCTGCTATGTATAGAAATGTCATGAGCAAAATAAACTGGAATTTGAGTATCTGCAAGATACAGTGCATTTTGAGACAATGAAGTTAAAAATACTTAAATCATAGTTCCACATACATGTAGTAATACCTGTACATAACATTATACACTGTATTGATTATTATGCATTTCTTAACCATATACACACAAAAATTGTTATATATATTCAGTCTCTATCTAACATTCTTACAATAAGCAAGAAAATATAAGGAGGCAGGACATTTCTGATTAAGAAAATCATCCCTGAATTGACATTTCTGTAAATATTGATGTCTCTCTTCCAAAAAATTCAATGACAAATATGCCTAATGCATAGTAAATACTGAAATATTTTCAGAAGAGAGAAAAAAATGTTTTCAGAAGTATCCTGCTGTTTTGGGGGGACTGGCAAGTACAATTTTATACAGGTATATATATCTGTACAGGTAATTATGAAATAATGTAAAATTAAGAAGAATCTCAATCACAATGCCCCATTTTTTCACAATTAATTACACAATTAAATGCCTTCTCTTAAAACAATCACAGTTGTATTACAACTTTTTAATCATTTATGAAAGTACTTAAAAACACAGTTCTTTCAATAATTCAATATTAGAGTTAACCACTGTGCAAAGTATTAAAAATATATAACACAGTTCAACGATAAGTGACAACTTAAATGGGTTCCTATAATGTTTTTAAAATTGAAATCATTAGCCAATAAGAAATTTATATTTGAAGCTAGTAGACACAAAAAGAATTCAGATTAATATTAAGACTAGCTTCTGTACATTTGCTCTCCAAAATGTAACCATGTTTGAGTTAGGTACATGTACATATAGTAAATTTAGCACATCTGTTATACCGGTACATGTACATACTGTACTACAGTACTTGTACAGGTCTATGTAAATATTATGACTTACTTACATTATGGAACATATACAACTCACACAAATGATTATGATACTGTTGTACAGTTTTAATCAATATATTATATATAATTATAATTACTAGCCATATTTACACACTGTCTTACATGTATTGTACTTGTTTATACAAAATTATACAGATCTTAAAATCTTATCAAAGTATTCTTTTCTTCTTTTTAAAAGAAGAAAAACCTACCGGTATTTGGAATTTTGCACACCAATTCATGTGTGAAGCTCTTTTTCAAACTTATAAATATTTTCTTAATTTCCATTATAAAAACATTATTATTATATAATAATTATAATGAATAACTTTATATTAACCATTATTTGATACAAGTTACTGTGCACTTTATACTTCATTGAATTACAATTAAAATATTCAAAAAGTACATTAATCATAAAAATGTTTAACACTCCCAAAAAAGGTTAAATTTTCTATATTCTGATTGTCTATACATTTACCATAAAACATCACACTAAAGGTAAAAGCTAAAGTTGACACATATTTTTTTTCTGTTTAAAAAAAAATCTATGCATCCTCAGCAACTTCTTTTTCTTGAGTTTTGAGAGCGAGAATGAGCTTTTCTATCAGGAATGATAACAGTTTGTCTAGTGGGTCCATGAATCCTCTCTGCATCCATTTTGGAATGGTGACTCGAGCATGAGAAAATCCTAGCTTCTGTAAGACATAGTCCACTACCACTGTGTCGATTTCTTTACCTTTACTGGCCCAGTGCAGAAGTCTGTAAAATATAAGTTGGCCATTTCTATCTCAAATCTGCTTTGATTCTTATTGTACTTTAGAGAAAGCTTTCTAAAATTATATTTGTGCATTAGGTTCATTATAATTTGCATATCATTCTTTTGAAAGAAAATTAAATGCAATATACAGTCATGTAAATATATTTCACATTATCAAGAATGCAACAATCTTGTAGTTTGAATTATGTTCACATTTCATTATGCCATGAACTTGCAAAAAGCCTTATCATTCATAGTCTCTTACAACACTTACCTGACTGTGGGCTCTAGATGCCAAGTATTACATTCGAACACCCTCCAGTCCTCCTTCAGAGCAGATGTGGGGTCTGTAATCCTCTTTCTCTCTGTTTCTGGGGTTCGTGGAGATTTAGAACTTGTTCCGTATGGAGGTTTAGTCCCTAAAAATTGTTTTGCAGTCACTTTTAATCTATAATTAACCAAGTTTAAATCAACATTTCACATAATTTTGGCTACAGCTGGCTTATAAAGTGTGTCAACCAGTTGTGAAATATATTAAATGCCTTTTTTTTAGTAGAAAGCTTTATGTTTGGGTAATTTTTTTGAGATTCTCTAAATATGTAAAATAATGGTAAAGTTTTCATGAAAAATAAGAAAATACACAGTGACTGTATTTTTAAGGATAAGCACCAAGTACATATAAATACAATGCTACTGTCCAAAGAAAGTAAAAAATACATATTTCAAATTATGAATGGAAATCTGAACATTCTTTTTTTTTATTAACCTTAAAATCAAATAAGCCAACAGATGGAGATGTCTTTACAGAAGTTTTGACACAGTTGTCTACCTTTATGGAATGTTTTGTCACAGTTGTCTACCTTAATGGAATATTTTGTCACAGTTGTCTACCTTTATGGAATGTTTTGTCACAGTTGTCTACCTTTATGGAATGTTTTGTCACAGTTGTATACCTTTATGGAATGTTTAATCACTATGTCCCTACCTTTGTCCTTCTCCTTGATATATGACAGAATAAGGTCATGAAGGAACAGAATGACCTCTGCATCCATGGCAACAAAAATATGATCCTCAAACTCTGTGACAAAACTGCACTCCACAACAGGACGAGGGTCTGGGAATAAAAATGAAATAAAATGTTGATAATCAACAAAAAGAAGTATGGTGACGATGATAAGAAATAATTCAATTTGCTTTCAACATCAACATTTTTTTTTATCCAACTACATGTACCTGTGTTTTATTGTAATGTTTAAATGTTGAAATAATTTAACCTTTTGAATTTGAGCTTTTATTTCATGTTTATAATTTGGATTTTGGATCATACAAAATTTACAGAGAGCAAATTTGACTTCATAGTTGAAAAATAAAAATATTTCTTTTCTTTCCAATTTAACATTTGCATAAATACCATCAGGTTTTGGCTCATGTTGAGACTGGTTGTGAATGGTTTTTAGCTGGAGTTGGAGAGAGGGCAGGAGAAAGATCATCTCCGTGTCGTGACTATAGGCCTGTACCTTCCTGATCCGACGCGCTTCCAGAGCATCTTCTTCATGAAGCATCTGTGGGAAGCAGTCAAGTCCTGAAAAATACATAATTACATGTATTTGACAAATCTGGCACAAAGTTACATGTAGCTATTGACCAGAGAGACTGGGACTCTATATTTTTATTTGATGTATTGGTACTGCCATATATTTAATGTACAAGTACTACTGTGGAGAGAAAGATGCTTTTTTCAAACAAGAGGCTTAATTAACACCACCTAGGATCTAGCTATAAATTTTTGAAGAGAAGTGTATGAGATCTTATCTTGAGGGAGGTTTTCATTATTTCTACCATTACCTAAAAGGATGGGGGGGAGGGGTAACAAAGCTCTGTTGCCCCTACCTTTGATATCAGATGTGGCTAGAGTGTAGTGGAACCACTCCTGGACACTTGTGAAGGAAGGAGGCATAGAGTGGCCCCGACTCAGCATACAGATGTAGGCCATGTGCTGCTCCTTCGTATGCTGTGTCAGGTCATGCCCAATGTAAAAGTTCAGATTCTGGATCACATGGATTCCTGGGCATAAAATAAACATGTCAACCCTGAGTACATACACACAGTGTAAATACTTTACTGTAAATGCTCTGCATTTTACTTTTAAGATACAGTCAAACCTTGTTATCTTGAACTTGATGAGACCAAGAACTTTGAGATATCTGAGGATTCAAGATATCAAGGGTAAATTTTTTTAAAAATATGTGGTTGGGACTTCCAAATCACTTCGACATATCTATGGTTTCGAGGTGTTAATATTCAAGATACCGAAATTCAACAGTACTACTTTATTGGTTTGAGCCATTTTTTTATAAACTGTACAATGCAGGCTGCTGATTTCAGCTTCCAATGGCTCTAAAGGATCTGTTTTTTCTACGTAATTTCTGACTTACCTCCTTCAGGCAGCTGTTGAGACTCAGTGGCAAATATTATGTAAGGTTCATGCATTGTAAATAGAGCCCATGACTTGGCTTTGAAATTCATCCCATGGAAACAGGCCAAGGTCAGGTTTTTGCCTTTCAAGGTCATGTTCCCACCGAGTATTGTGCCCTCCTTTGGCATCATGCTAGGCAGCATAGAAAAACGGCATCCAACCACAAGTTCTAGAGCTCTCTGCCAGTGTCTGTGGTGCCGAATGTCCCATATACCTAGAAGAGTGATATTCATGCATGTATGTCAATTCTGACATTATGTTAAACAGTTTTGCACTCGAAGTTTCTGAAGCTACAAAAAATTTAAAGTTTTCAAATTTTCAAGCAAAGAAGTAAGTGCCTTTTCTTGCGAAAGGGATAAAATTCTTCTCCAAAATAATGTGACCATTTCGCAAAAAGCACCAAAAAAACTCTAACTAAATAACAATAAATGATCTTACAATCAACATCATCAGACATTTTTCTGCGTTCACTTCCTCTCTTTGCTCCTGACTTGGGGCCAAGAGTCATCAACACACGCCTGCTACTAGTAAATTGGTTCATGAAAAACTCTTCTATTTTGGAGACCATTTTAATGATATCTGGAGTGGTGGAGCGAGAGATCATCATGTGGAACTGTTCCCAGTGCAGGTCGCCATGGGCAAACAAGATAGCAGGCCTAAATAGAAGGCAATCATTTCATCTTTCAAATATATTTTACTGCAGCGTATATCTTAATTACTTATGATGTTTTTCTTTCATGCTTTTAAAGTTAACTTCTAGGAGACAGAGTACACAAAAAATTTAACATACACCATAAAAGTTTAATTAAACCTTAAAATGAATAAAATCTTTTTTCATTTTTTTTTTCAGAAATGAATGATGTTCACCATTCTATATACATGTACTAACTTGACTGTGTTTTTCCTTAAATATTTCATTTTGTAATATGATGTACCTTGTAGTGGCCAAAGGAGTGTCACTTGTTGGTTTATCTTGGACAAGCCATTCATCCTTCAGAGCAATTCTGAATTCATTGAGTCGAGCCATCAGGACACTGGAGCCCATGTAATCCATACGACACTCAATGGTGTACAGCGAGACTCCCATACTGTGTAAGGGTTGCTTCCCTTGTTCAGGATCTTCATTAACTTCCACTGTTTTTAGAAACATTATGTTTTTATATGTGTTTTATTTAACATACTTTACAACATAAGAGAAAAAATACCAATACATATACTGTACACTTGAATGAGAAAATATACATAAAGACGACCTTGCCTGAATACCTGTTTTGTCTTATCTCTCATTCAGAATTTAACAATTTAATGCCTATCAAATTCGTCTTTGATCAAACAAAAGCTTTTATTTTAAAAAATTGTACATGTAGTTAACAAATTTACCGAAGAGATTAAGGTCATTGAGGTCAATGGTTCCTCCTACTACTCCACCCCGAGAGTCAAAGTGGGAATTCCCTGTACCGGCGGTGATCCTCAGGTCACGATGACCGTTACTGTGAATGGACAGACTCCCCTGACTTTTGATTTCCTGTGTGGTCCACCTGAGAGACAAGGTTAAATTAACAACAAGAAAGTCTCCACAAATTTAATTTGTTAATCAAATGTTCTTAATATTTTATGTATGTGTTTTTAGATTCTCATAAGTATGGTATCATATAAATTATACTTGTCCTTGAAATCAGGTTAAGAAATGGATGCCTTCTAGCATGTATGTACATGAAGTAGTCTATATCATCTGTTTTAGATTTGGCACTTTAAAAATTCTCCAAATCGATCACCATGTAATTCGCCTGAATTTGACCTTGTAATATGACCTTCAGAAAATGCTACATATACTTCACAACCTCCCTTAGGTTGTTCTATACAGTCACTAATAAATTTACATCAAATTAATGTATTAGAATTGATTTCAAATCCTGAATGATTTAATGATTTTGATTTTTAAAGATACACTGAAAGCATTTCACAACTTAGGCCATAAGCAACAAGAGGCCCAAAGGCCTTGAATCACACTTCTGATAAACTGTACAACCTATCACTTCTATTTGAAGCCTTTAAGTATCCTGTATATTTAGATAAAGCCTTGAAATTCCAAAGGCAGGTCATCATGACCTACATTTTAGATGAAACACTCTGAGAACCCAAGATGATTCTGAGCCAATTAGTACCCGAGAGTAGGTCATGGTGACCTACTTATCACTTGTCAGTCTCTGAGGATCCAAGATGCATCAACTAAGTTTGATGATTCTAAGCCAATTAATACCTAAAATATTTTTAGAATTATAACCATAAAATTTCAAAAGTAGGTCACAGTGACCTACTTTTCAGATGACATACTTTGAGGACCCAAGATGCATCGACTGAAAAAACTTGATGATTCTAAGCTCATAAGTACCTGATATATTTAAATAAAGCCCTAAATTTCCAAAAATAGGTCACAGTAACCTCTTTTACAGTCAACTAACTCTGCGGACCCAAGATGCATCAACTGACAAAGTTTTGATAATTCTAAGCCAATTAGTACCTGGAATTTTTAAGTAAAGCCTTAACTTTTCAAATGTAGGTCATGGTGACCTACTTTTCATTTGACCTACTCCAAAGACCCAAGACGCTTCAACTGACCAAGTTTGATGGTTGTAAGCAAATTAGTACCTGAAATATTTAATTAAGGCCATAAATTTTCAAAAGTAGGTCATGGTGACCTACTTTTCAGTCCACTTACTCTGAAGACCCAAGATGCATCAACTGACAAAGTTTGATGATTCTAAGCCAATTAGTACCCAAATATTTAATCATAGTCATATAAATTGAAATGTATGTCACAATGACCTACTTTTCAGTTGACATTTTTGAGGAACCAAGATGCATCAACTTACAAAGTTTTATAATTATAGGCCTTAAAATGTCCAAATTATGCCTCTAAAATGCTTTGAAATCGAATGCCTGCAAAGTTCAAAAAGTGGGTCACTGTGACCTACTTTCTAATAAATATGTTTTATGGCCCCAAGATGCATCATCTTACAAGATTTAATAATTCTTAACCTCTCAGTATTCGAATCAATGACCTTAATTGTTTTGAAAAAGATTAGCCATAAAATTCAAAAAGTAGGTCAAGGTGACCTACTTTTTAGTCAACGTACTCAGAGGACCCAAGATACATCAACTGACAAAGTTTGAATATCATAGGCCTTATATTGTTCAAAATATGCCTCTAAATCATTTTGAAAAAGAATGGCCGCAAAATTTTAAAAGTAGGTCATCATGACCTACTTTTGAGTCAACGTGATATGAGGTTCTTAGATGCATCAACTGACAAGATTTGAAGATCCCAGTCCTTATAGTAAGCAAAATATCAACATTTTAATAAAATGTAATTTTTGGTCAACTTTGAAGTGACCTTGAGACCGCACCCTTTGCCCCAGGGTGATGCCTTGAACAATTTTTAATCTACAACATATCCTGATCCTTTTGTGTAAGTTTGGTGAAATCTGCCCAGTGGTTCTTGAGAAGAAGATTTTTTAGCAACCAGTACGTTTGTTTCTTTTTTCCTAATTATCTCCCCTTGTTTAAGGGTCACAACCCTAGTTTTAGTATAACGGGAGCCCTTGGGTCAAGGATACCCTGTGACAAATTTGACAATAATTGGCCAAGGGGTTCTTGAGTTATGGCCCATATTCTAAAAAGTTTACGCACACCACAAAAAAGGCCATAGCCTTTGGCTCAGAAGAGCTAAAAATCATATTTTATTGAGTATAAATAAAGATTAGCTTATACAATACATTTTAATTATTTGTTAATTAGTTCAGTACCCTCATTATGCCTTACACAGTGTTTCCCATGACATTGCTCATGTTGACATGTAAATCCAACTTGGCTAGATTAACAGCAAAGAGCACCAAGGTCTCCCAGGAAACAGATTTTGGTGTCACATGACTGCTGCTATGGTGACTTTTATGTCTCCCAGTTTCTGATTGGTGGAGAAGAGATTTGTGCTTCCCAGGAGTCTTTGCTGTTGAGCCTGGAGTTCCTGTGTGAGGATAAGTGAAGGAATCCTGGGACATCAAATCGGTAGGGGACTGTGGCATGGAGGCTAAAATTTAAGACATCAAGATTTTATTTTAGGAAACAATTAGACGATGTAAGACAGTCACATAACACAACAACCATGTAAATGTAAAAATAGTAAATATACATGTATATACATGTAAATTACTGTAAAATCACTTGTTTTTGTGGGGTCAAATTTTAGTGGTTTTGAGGAAAAAGTATTGGTTTGTGATTTGATTTCTTGGGTGAAGAAGAAACACATTGAAAGCTTAACACTTCGAGAAGGACAAGAATTTGTGGGTCTCTCCATACTATGAAAACAACACAAATTAAACCCTGAATATTAGCGATTTCACAGTAAACATGTGTAAACCTAATTAAAAATCTACACTGACCTTACATCAGAACTTGTTTATACAAAAATATAACTGACATGCACGTATACACAGTGTATCTTTAAATATCCAAATTTACTGAAAAAAATATTGAAAACTACATATCATGACATATAACAGAAACTCAACATAAAAACCATTTCTTTAATCCAATTTTTGAGCATTCAAAGTTAGTTGATATGTAATATAATACATAATCCAATTTTTTTTTTATAGTGATGCCTGAAAAGCTAAATATTAAAATCCTAAGTTTCATAATTTTTATTTTTTTGCTATAAATAGAAGGCACTGATTGATGCTGATACAATCTTACTGCAACTGAATTATTTTGCTAGAAAATACATTTTGAAAAATCATGTCACATGCATCTGAAACTTTCAAATTCAGCTTTATATAAGAAATCTATATTTTTTAGCATATTTTCAGAAACTTTTATTTTGCATTCATGTGCTATTTAGAATTTTTTTTTAACTACCGTATATACTCGACTATAAGTCGGTTATTTGGGAGTTAAACTTTGGTCCAAAACTCTGTGTCCGACTTATAGGCGAGTCATAAAATGATTGGTATTTTAGAGGGTCAATCCCTCTAATATAAGCTTAAAGAATGCAACCGACTTATAAGCGGACCGACTTATAGGTGAGTATATACCGTATAATGACACATACAAAACAGATGTTCAGATTCTAGACTGATCTATTTTAATCTAATCCAGTAGATCATACAGTCATATATACATTATATATGTATCAGACATGTGTTTGACATGTGCATTAAAATTCTGATTAAGGGCAACTTAAGAGCACCCAAAATTTGCTTCAATCTGAAATGTAAATTGATGATACATATTTTTCTAAACAAACTATATTTATATTGATATTAAAGACACCAAACCTGTTCGCACAAATTTGCTGTCAATCTGTTGTTTAAGGTCAGAGCTGAGTTGAACTTTGATCTTGTCCCCTGAGGAGCTTCGCCGATGGTGACCGGGGATCACAACACTCAGGTTGTTGGACTGGGAGAGGGAGGGGGAGGAAGTAAAGAGTTTAGAGACGGGGCCCCTCACGGGGCTATCCCCCTGGGAGCTTCCGGTGGAGGTTGAATCAGATTCTGTAAAGCACCACACAACAGCAAAGCTAAACATAAAAGCTGAAAGGTGTACAATCCCTGGCAAGGCTCGATAAACTATTACAAGACTGCAGTCAGAATTAAAGGTGTACAATCCCTGGCAAGGCTCGATAAACTATTACAAGACTGCAGTCAGAATTAAAGGTAATACATTCAGGAAAGTTGACTGATTTTTTTTTTTTTTAGTAGCTCGATAAAGGAAAGGTTTGGAAAGCCAAGTATACTAATCTGTAATAAACTGCATATGACATTATCATATAATTGTTATGTAAAAAAAAAATGAAGTCAATAATTTTATGATTTATTTTTTCAGACTTTTTTTTTACTATTTTTTTACTATCATTGAAGAAATATCAAAAAAAAGGTGTACTTGGCACTAAAATCTTAATTGAAATCAGCTTAAATGACATATAAGGAAGAAGGGGGGGGGGGGGGGATGTAAGTAATTGACAGGACTTTCTAACTGTTAGAATTATATATAAGTCATATCTCACTTCAACACTTAGAACTTGTTACTGTGTTAATACCTGTTCCCAGGAACTGTACACATATCAAAGGAAAACATTGCTTTCCAGAACTTAAACTTCATAGAGATATTCAGAAATTATATCTAAGTGAAACTGAATATAAAACTTCTCATGCACAAATTGAATAAATCTCTAATACATTTTTTAACCAAATTCAATTTGAAAATGAAAATAATAATGCAACAAGCAAATGATCTAGATCTAGCAATTGAAAAAACCAATTTGCATAATTAAATGTAGCAATGAAAGTCAACAGAAGAGGAACAACTTCCAATACACAACAAAACATCCCTAACTCACCGTCGTCTGCCACATGGATGTAACTTTCATCTCCCAGAAACATACGCCTGGCCAGACTTCTGTTGTACCAGGCTTTAGGGAAGGAGAGAATTTCTGACAATCGCCTCATGTCATACTTAAATGCTGCAGACCCAATATCACAAATAGCTACAAAATGACAAAAAACAGGAAAGTAATAAAACTTCTAAAAAGTGAGATTCATGCTTGCCTAGAAATCATGAACTTTATAAATAATCACATAATAATGCTGTAATCAAAATTTTATTCACATATAAGAAATATCCATAAGTTTTTCAACTTTCTTTCACTTACCAATGCATTTTTTTTTTTTTGGACTGCAAACAATTTATATAATTAAAAGTATTTTTATGTTGAATATTTCCATTAAAAAAAAATGCAGATGGGATCAAACTTTCGAATCACAAATACATGTATGAGTCGTCAAGAATAACAGGTAATTTACAATATTGCATTACTTTGAAATCTACTGTGCAATTCTTTAAATGGTTTCTAAACTTTCACAACTATGAAATATAACGAACTGTTGTAAATGTTAACTGGATTATCAGTTTTTATATGCTACAATTATCACCAGCTCTCTACCTGAGAACCTGACAATGTTTGACTTGGCCTCTTTGTCCAGGGCTCGTAGTTCTATTTTTCGACTTCTCGAGATGTTGATCTTTACAAACTCGACATTGAGACTAAGCATGTCACGTCTAGTTTGTTCTGACCATGCAGGTTCATTTTCCTGAATGCTTCCTTTTGAAAACAAAAATAGAGAATGAAATACAGTAAGCTTCTTTCAATTGTTTCATGGACATGTTGTCCATCTCAAGATCTGTACATGTAAATAAATGATAATTAAAAGTTACTTGTATTCAGGTTTAAATATTCAATATAAAATAAATATAATTCAATTTTGATATATGCATATAAGGACCTTAGAGATCTTCAATAATCCTACCTAGGTTATATCCTGTGGTTGTGTTTAATTTTCTCTGTACCCCTCCCCCATAAGGATGGAATATATACAGGGAAAAATCTGACATGGCTCCAGTAAAACTCAGACCCCCTGTTGACATTGAGCTACCATCACCTGAAGAGTTTGTACTGCTGGCCCGAGGGCGTGCATCACCAAGGAGACGAGATCCACTCGGGTTCCTTTCTCTCAGTTTTGATGCTAAAGTATAATACATGTACATGTATATTAGAAGTGTTCAATTTCAAAATAATGTATCAGAAGTATTCAGTTACATCAGAGTTTATACACTTTTTTGATGAAAAATATCATTAGAGTACACCAACACTTGAAATTTTTACCTCATGCAAAAATATACAAATAGTAAATACATGTACACATATCAAAGACAGATCTCTGAAAGCTACCTTTAGATTTGAGAGGAGGTGTACCCTCAGCTAAGGAGGTATCAATATCAGTACTCTTAGTGGAGAACACCGTCTCTAGTGCTGGGACCTTCAGCAGACACTCCACACGTGAGCTGGGCAGACAGTTAAAGCGGATGATGGAGGGCTCCACGCGGATAAAAACTACCACATCCACAGGGAAAGATGTCTGGGTTACCATAGTACCCAGTGAACTGTAGGAGGTTTCCATTTCTTCATGATCTTCTGCTGAAAGTAACCATTGAGAAACAACATTTAATGTAGTATATAATGTCATTTTATAAATAGAGTTGAACTTAAGTACATTAAACATCCATATCTAGAATACCATGGATATACACTGTATCAAAGTGAGCTGGAAAGCCCACCACTTTTTCCTTATGCAAAATTATCCTCAGATATCTTGAAGCCCCCCCCCCCCCCATCTTGTTTGAGATAACAAGGTTTGACAGTGGCACTCTCATATTATGGCTCTATTTTTATGGCATATTAAAGAGCAAGTAGCATTTCTATGTACATGCAATATTGTTTTATGTTCAGACCTTTCTTGTTCTGCTGCAGCATGGTGACACCTATGGGAATTGGCTCCAAAGCTTGTTCCAGAAAATCCAATATACATGGGCTGATGACCATTTCCTGAAGAGAAATAAGCAAGACTTAGAGCAGATTAGTACATGTAAATTATTCAATGATGGACAATTATGTTTCATGATTTTTTTTTCAATTGAGGCATCCAACCGGAAGTACATGATTGTACAGATGTAGATAAAAATCTAAAGAAACTATCAGATAGAGAGAAATAATTTGAAAATATCTGAAAGAAATCTTCTTGATTACATAGTTTTAAAAAAGAGTTTTGAAAAAATATAATACAAATATCGTAACAAATGCTTGAGTGGAAGGTAAACTTTCCTTTCTGTATGCTGACACTTAACAGTAAGAATAAGAATTCAGGAAAAATAATTAGTTAAAAAATAAAGTGCCCCGCAACAGCATGATACGCCCGTCAAATATTGTTCAATTATCATAAACAGTTTAGGGTGCAAGAAAATCATGTCAACCTTAATTCAAAGATTTCCATGATTCCTTATAATATTTGATGTTTATACATTTCCTGTAGTGCAGGCACTAATTATAATAAATTTCTCAACTGGTTGTGTTAGACCTTGACAAATGGCCATCTGCACCCCCCCCCCCCCCATCTTTCATATTTATTTGATATTTTCAAAAAATTAAATAAAAATATCATATTAAACAATATCAAAATAGTCTTAACAATTTAATCTATACCAAATTAATTTTGAAAATAAAAGGCTGGCCATCAAAAGACAAGCTATAAACTGACAAGCAGTTTTTTTGTCTAATTCCCAAAGGATACAGATAAGAGCTGCTTAATCAGAGATGCTCTAACAGAAATGATTGAAGCAGCTAGCCTTCCTACATTGAACTTATTAATTAATCTTTAACTGGATGCATGCATGTCCATTCATTACTCCCAAGGGATGAATGGATCTGCACTATCTACTTTAATAGCCTGTACTGTAATAAAAATGCATATTTATGTCATTCCTTTGAAAACTGAGATTTTTTTTTTAATTTGTTACAAAGATTTATAAAAAGAAACAAAAACTTGTGTAATCTTGATGCAATATTTTAAATAAGGTTACTGCATGTCTCTTAGATTTGTAGGGACTATCTACCATTAACATTTTAAAAAAAAAAATACTTGATGATTTTTTTTTAGATTTAATGTCAGACTGGTTTTAAGCTGCAGTTCATATTGACAAACAGACAAAACTACATGCTGAACCCCCCCCCCCCCCCCCCCCCCCCGTCTAATTAGTTTTAATTACTGGTATATTATACAATATCAAATTAGTTTATTATACAATATTAAGTCAGTTTTCATTACTTTTCAGCAAATTCATTTTAAAAGTTAAAAGGCTAGCCAACTAGATTCATTTACCAACACTGATTCCTTTGCCCAATTCCCAGAAGATATAGATAACACCTGCTTGATCAGAGATGCTCTACCAGTTTAGTTCCTCACACTAAAACTCATTAATTTCTCTCTAATTTGACATGTAATTTTCTGTTATCAAAATTTCCTTGACAGTGCCTGATGATTACACCCATGGGAGAGGTGGAATTTCTCTTATAACATTACATTTGTTATAGATAGCTGTAAAGTATATACATAATGAAAAAAAAATAAGTATTTTCTTGATTTAACATTTTTTAATAAGGATATTGCAACATTCTTACACTTTTGGGGATTGTGTAATTGAATAGTATAGAGACACAGTTTTTAAAAAAAAATTCACTAAATTAAAGGTCACAGTGACCTTGAAATAGGTCGCGACACACCTTCTACCTAAGATGCATAAATTGGCCAAGTTTGATGATTCTAAGTCCAGTAGTTTTCTAGTTATGAGCCGGACAGGATTTTTCCATATTTGGCCATAGCATCTTAATTAAAGGTCAGAGCAACCTACTTTTAATGCGCAACACACCTTCTACCCAAGACGTATCAGCTGACAAAGTTTGATAATTCTAGGCCTAATAGTATTAAAGTTATGAGCTGGACAGGAAAAAGCTAACAGACGGACGGATGGACGGACATGAAGGCTATATCATAATACGTCCCGTCTTAAGACGGGCGTATAAAAATCAAAATAGTTATTAAATAAATGCAGATTATTCAAGCTATTTCTGTAATTCCATATACTGTTCAAGTTGCATGATTTTGTGTGTCCTTTCCACATAATATTCTAAATGACCAATCAAATAACAGAAATAATCCTGCCCTCTGGTTACAAAATAAAACAACATACAATTAAGAATTGGATTGAAGAAAACAAAAAAAGAGAAGTTTCTGGAGTATGAGGAAAGGAAATTCTGGTTTTCATCTTTAATTATTCTACAAACCTTCTTTATCAAATCAGATCTCTGTAATAATTATCAGTAAAAATAAAAAAAAAAGATTTAATCAAAAGTTTTATGTCAAAAACATTAAAATATCTACGTGTATATTAGTAAGTTTAATTTGAATTCTTTATTGTTAGTAATGACAAAACAGCTTTGGATTGGGATAACTTCCAGGAAATTTGAGTACCGCTTACATATGATTGCATCATTTAGTTTTCAATAAGTATACCTGTATCAATATGCAGTACATACATGTACATACATAATTATGAATATTCATTTATTGACCGGGGTCGAGGGCAACATGCGTTTTGTAAGCCCCAATGCAAGAACCAAACTGCAAACAGTTTGGTTCAAGGGATCGACAAAACGCATTTTGCTCGAGACCTTAAGACAGTACGGATTTTTATAGGAACACATTTTTAAAGGTGTAACAATATACATTTAAACATGTTGAAGAAAAAAAAAATATTACTAACAGTAGACTGTATTTAATATCACTCTTAAGCTAATAGTAATCTCTACAATATTTAACAAAATCACTCTTGGGTCACAATATCAGTGCATATGATACATAATTATGTACAACTTACCTCTGGCAATGACTGCAGTGACAACCAGGCATACAGATTAGCTTTCTTGACACCAGACTTCTTAGATGGCATGGATGATGTACTCTCTCTAGATTCTAACGACTCCAAAGTAAAATGGGGTTGAGGACGAGGAGGGACCTTTATAGGAGGGGGAGGAGGACTGCACCTCCTCCTCAACATCACCTCCTCCTGCTCCTCATCAACTGTCACTGTTACTGTTGGGAAATGAGAGGGAGGCCAGGATTTCATACGAGGGACCGAGTCCTGGTCTAATGGACTCGGTTCAGGAGAGGGTGATTTTCTCTTTCCTGTTTCCTCCGATTCAAATGAGTCAACAGATGACTTAGACTTAAGTTCTGAGTCACAGTTGTGAGTTTTGGAATTATAATGCACCTACAATGGAATGTTAAGGTTTTTCGGCAAGCAGAAACTCTGTAGGGTGCATGAACATACTTTTTAAGCCCTTAAAATTCTTCCAAATCTGAAAATAGCAACTTTCTATAATTGTTAATTCCAGTTTATTATCACAGACAAAATGAACCTTACTTTGAGATCAATGCTGGGTAAGAAGAAGACCGTATCCTCTATCTGCTGAACATGCTGGGCTGCCTGGGGCTTCTTCCCTGGGGCTGACATAGGGGTGGAGGTCATCTTCTTCTTAGATGTCGGGGACAACATGGGGTCAGGTGTCTTCTCTCTCTTTTGTTGTCTTTGAAAATCAAGTATAAACTCACTTAAAATGATTAACAGTAAAAGATCTGTATAATATATTGCTAGAACAAAAAATACTGCCATTCCCATATACTTGTACTATTAAGTTCACTTTCATTTCCAGAATGTTACTTGTAGATTAAAGTACCCTATCTATTAAATTACACATGTATTTGAACCTAGATTTTTCATACATGCAATACTTGAAGTTCAACTGATTCATTTTATCATTGGCATTAATATTATGCCGACTGTATAATGTACATGTATTACATGTAATGAACTTCATTGCAACCACAATGCACATGTATATCTACTGTAAATAGGGAAATTTTTGCCCCCATTTTATTTTTTCCCTTTTCACTCTACTCACAGGTGGGCAAATTAAAAACGAGGCAAATTCAAAAAACTCAGTACATGTATAATTTCTTAAACAGAATTGTGATTGGGCTAATTTAAAATGTGACAAAATTGTTTGCGAGTGTGAACAGGCAAAAATAACATGGGGCGAAAATAACCAAGGAACCAGTATTAAAGCCTATATACATCTTTGCATAATCTTTTATTTTAGAATTTTTATGCCCCGCCATGAATATGGCCAGGGCATATAGTGTTTGTCATGTCCGTCTTCCGTCCTTCCGTCACACTTTGCGTTTAGCTCTGTTCAAAGCTCAGTTTCAAAGAAACTATCCAAGATATTTTCATCAAACTTCATATGCTGATAGATATTGATGAGAGCTATGCAACTGCATCAACATTTTTTGACCTTGACCTTTCCTTTGACCATGACCTCACTTTTCTTAAATTAGTGTTTAGCTCAGTTTTAATGAAACAATTCAAGATATTTTTAACAAACTTCATATGGTGATACAAACTTATGAGAGCTATTCAACTGCATCAATATTTTATACCTTGACCTTTCCTTTGACCTTGACCTCACTTTTCTTAAATAAGTTTTTAGCTCAGTTTTAAAGATACCATTCGAGATAGTGTTATCAAACTTCATATGCTGATACATACTGATGAGAGCTATTCAACTGCATCAATATTTTTTGACCTTGACCTTTCCTTTGCCCTTGACCTCACTTTCCTTAAGTAAGTGTTTAGCTCAGTTTTAAAGAAACCATTCATAATATTTTTATCAAACTTCATATGCTAATACATACTGATGTAACCATTTCAACTGCATCAACAATTTTTGACCTTGATCTTTCCTTTGACCTTGACCTCACTTTTCTTAAATTAGTGTCAAACTTCATATGCTGATACATACTGATGTAAGCTATTCAACTGCATCAATATTTTTTCACCTTGACCTTTCCTTTGTCCTTGACCTCACTTTCTCAATTTTCGTTAAAATGTTGCATTACTAATATACTATATATTCATGTCCTATGGACATATTTCTATTTTTTTTTAGTTTTTGCTATTATAAAAACAAATAAATTTATTTTTACTTTTTGTTTTTTTTTTTTAAATTCAGTAATTAAAATAATCTTACTTTTTAGCTGTGTCCTCTTCTTTGACTTCCTTGGGATGCAGCACACATTTCCCATTGTCAATGAATACCTTGACATCCAGTTCAAAGTCGATGTTGGGTTCTGGGGCTGTGGTGGACTTTGATGACGACCCCCCACTCCCCAGACTGGGGGTCAGTGTGTTCTGTTTACTAGAAAAATCCAAGCTTTCCATGGAATTTGTCCTAGATGAAGGAAACAAAGCATTTCAGAGTCTGTAGAATATTGTGCAATAACTTTATAATATAGAACTTTTTCATTTTTCAGTATGATTATACAATTTCATGATTGTTTTATCTTTCATTTATCATAAGAAATAAGGTCAAAGTTTGTTTGCAACTTGGTTTAAACGAATACTCCAGAAGGTCAGACACCTTGGTCAAGGTCACAAAGAAATTATTCAACTCTGACTAAACAGTAATTAAAAGTGAAAGTGTATCATATACACAAGTAGCCAAACCCACACAAATTTTTACTTACTTTTCACCCTCTTCAAATACTACATCTCGTGTGAGGGTGCCCTTCCCCTCCTGATCGTCAGATGACTGGGACGATGACTCTGAGGATAAGGAGGAGGAGTCTGAGTCTCTGACCGCCCATCTCGGGGACCTTTCATCTAACATAGGACTGTTAGAGTACTGGGAGTAGGGCTGGGACGATTTAGACAACATGGAATCTGGAGTCCTAATAAAATATAATAGCTAGGTTATTTCATGTGCGTATTTAACTTCTCCACAGGTGCATCTGCACATGTACTTAAAATTTCTCTTTGCTATACAGTCATATATTAAATGACTGCCATCATGAGAAAAGGGCCCTTAAGGTCAAAATTTCACAAATTGACTTTTTGGTAAATATTGATAGCCTGACTCTTTCTGAATGCAAAAATACATAACTTTTAAAAATATCTAATTTTTTCACTATTTTATGATCATTTTTGTAAGGTGCATCAAAACAACGTTGACGTTATTCCTTAAGACGTAATGACGTCGCGAGCATAAAATTGGGTTTTAAATTATTTAAATAAACTTAATAATACGTACAATTGTATAAACTCTAGACGATATTTGATTTCTTCATCCAAGATACTTTGAGTTTGTCAATATAAACCCTGAAGTTGCTTTTGTTCTAACACGTTTACAAATTTAGAGGCAGATCCAGTTACATGTATTTCGAAAAAGGAAGGGGGGAGGAGGTGATAGTGGGGTTCTAGACAGGCCCTAGAAGAGGATTATGTTCATTCGGAAAAAAAAAATGCATGCACTGTACAATTCCATACCAGGCATTCTATTCTAGCTCAATTAAAAGAAAATTGTAGCACTTGTACACTAACATATAGAAAAAATCTACACAGTTCTGGAGTAAGGGAAGATCCAACCCAAACAAAACCTCGCGTATTATCTGTATCAGAGATGAATTATAATGGACAAAATATCACGCCACGATATGTAAAACTGTTTCAAAAAAGTTTTATCCGTAGTACAGTACCAACCAGACCCAACCTGACACAAAGCAGTCCCAGAGCAGTCCCACAGCGGTCCCAGAGCAGTCCCAGCTGTCCCAGAAAGCAGTCCCAGCAGTCCCAGAAAGCAGTCCCAGCAGTCCCAGTGGGCGGGGTTAATTAATTTAATGGGCGGAGCTTACTCAGAAATGAGATTACCAATAAACAATGTAACTATAAAAGGCAGTTGAAATTGATGATCCATTTCTTTCTGAGCAGTATCAATTCTCATGCGACAGTCATTTTTTAACTGTTAAGAAAATCACACTACACGTATATAGAAACATATAATAAATATTGAACAAAGAAGACGTTCGCACCTATAAATAACATGAATATTTAAACACAGTTTTGTGGTATATTAATTTTTCACCAAAATAAATCAATTTCTAAATTACTGTGATTGATATTGGTCTCCATATTTTTTTATTTTTTTTTTTTTAGATAATTAAGCTTGAGTTATTTTTTTCTATCAAAACTAGCTTTAAATAGGCCTTATAATTATAGAGCAAGGTCGATTTCCATACTATACTCTGAATGCAAATTTCTTAAGTACTGGAGCTTTTGAAAAATTCTTTGTGTATTATATTTCAGTCATGATTATTTTCACTGACTTGCCAATTTAATTATCGTTAAATTATCTATGTAACAGAAAACAATAATACTTTTATTATATAAACGTTTGAGTGTACATCTGTAAATCACGCAAATGGAACCCTCAGATTATGTTCAAAATTAATTAATCCCGAAATAAATTTATACACATTTATTGAAACGAAGATTTTTTGCAGTACATAGATTGAAATTAGTGTCATTGTTCACCAGCATGTTCAGTGATGTGTAACACTGATACCCAAGTAACATGCATTGACTTTCTGCTAATCATGCCCGAAGGCGATTGAAACTTCAGGTGTTGACACCATTTTATACATTTGTATTGCTTTTTATTAATCGGCCAGGAAAACACAAACAAAACAAATAAGAAATATAAGTCACAATTCCCAATATTTTAAAATGTTTATAAATTTACTCTTTTAATTACTTGTTTATAAATCAAAAACAAATTCATAAATAAATCCCCCAATAATTGTTCACAAATATAATTTTTTAAATGACTGAAGAATGGTAGAATAATTTTTTTTCATGGTCATTTAATAAATTATTAGGTTTTATTTGAGGGCGGAAAAAAATAGCAAAGAATGCTCTTTTTTAGCATGCATATGGTTTAAGCTTTTTAAATTAAAAAAAAATCCAGTACAGTACGTCCCTCTAAATGTCTCATTGTAATGACAAGTTTGTTTGTTTTTTCGTTTGTTTGTTTTTAAATAGTGCTAATGCAAACTTTGAGTACATTCCGTAACTTGACAGCATTAATTAATTAAATAGGCCTCGATATTTTTTTTCAAACATCTGTATTAAAGTTTTAATTAGCATTAATTAATTAAATAGGCCTAGATATATTTTTTTTCAAACACCTGTATTAAAGTATAATTTAAAGGATAAAAGTCATCTCCTGACTTCCCTTTTAACTACTTTCATTTTTTAAAATTAATTCTAGACTACAATTGTGTAAATTTACAGCCCCTGAAGACATTTAGTAATTACATGTATATCTATCTCTACTTATTAAAATGTTGTAAAAAATCCTTGTTTTTTTTTTTTATTCTTTATCTTAAACACCTCTCTGCTGAAAGTAAACAAAACAACAGGGAGCCTGCAAATTCAGAATACACAAGGGGGCGGAGCTATCATGTCACTCAGAACCTTTTTCATGCATGAGTGAACAAAGCAGTCCCAGAAAGCAGTCCCAGGGACTGCTGGGTCTGCTTTCTAGAGCAGTCCCAGAGCAGTCCCACAGCGGTCCCAGAGCAGTCCCACAGCAGTCCCAGAGCGGTCCCAAAGCAGTCCCAGGGACTGCTTAGGTGTCAGGTTGGGTCTGGTTGGTACTGTACGTAAAAATCACATATTAAAATATATGTTTTCTACACATATTTCCAAGCGCATTTTCTTTTGCTGAAAAAATTAAGTTTTTATTGTTCATACAATTTTGTTTCTGCGCCTGCCTTACTTATGGAGTAGAAACAGAAAATAGAGGCACAAAATCAGGTCTTAGGATTGTCTCATAAAAAGTTTAGCCCGTGCATGAAAATTGATACGTGTGTCAACTTATTTATCTTTACAAGTAAATCACACGTTATATGTATCAATAGCTGTTTTAAATGCCTCTGTCCTGTATTTTTTCTCTTTTCTTTTCTTTTTTTACCTTTGCTACAGTGTATCTTTAATCATTACTGTGAAATTTCAAACATTTTCCTCTTCTCAACGTTACTAACATTTGTACACAACAAATCAAACATTAGTACGCAGCAAATGGTACGTTTCTTAAAAGAGTTCGCTACTGTAATTTCAAAATGAAGTTTCTGTAATAAATGTTTCTAAATGCGATTATATATTAATTCTTACCTGCCAAGCATAGAAAAATAACCGGCAATCACCTGTAGTATTTTAGCTAATAAAGGCTGAAAGGTGTGTGCGTGCGACTGTGCGTATTTTTTTTTTTTTATCCATTTCTTAAATTCCATTTATTGACAAAAATTAAATTCTTCCTTATATATTTCACAGGCATCAATGTTTTTAAAAAAGAAGTAAAAGAATTTATTAAACCTCATTATAATTGTTGTATATAAGGCGTTATCTGATTGGTTTCAGACAGCCAAGTGACAAGGCCATAAATTTTTATATATCCCTGTCGTTGTCATGCTTTTTGTCATATTCAATGAATTAGACTCGGGAAATATGATTTTTCTTGACGGAATAAATCCTTATATTTCTCAGACCATCATGAAATAAAAGTAGAATGCATGCTAGGAATTCATCGTTTGCAATATTTTGAGCTGGCAACTGAAATATAGTAGTACAGAGAAAGAAACAAATATAAAGCTATATTTTCAATAGTTCATGTTGTAACTCTCCGGTCATCTATTCTAATTTCCTTGTGCAGATCAAATAGCTACAGATCAGCAGCTACGAAGTTGTATGTGAAAACTATTTCGCTCAAATCATTACCTGTTCTATTTTTTTCCCCCATGATGTAGATTTCTTGACTGCCTTTGTTGACCTTGCTGTTGATGTTAATTTAATTGACAATTTGAGAATTTTTATATCATTTTGAATCACACCCTCGACCACTTAAGCTTGTTACTTGTACTTTTTCTACCAAAATTGTCGTCATATCGCCATTTATCCGAAGTAAATTTCTTGACAACCTAATCTATTGTTTCTTCTGTTTCATACATTTTTTCAAGAATAAAACTATTAACGAAGTAACGTTTTTTTTCCTTCGGGGGGGGGGGGGGGGGGGGGGGGGGGGGAGTTTTCCACCTTAAGTACTGTATTTAATTCCTAAACAGAATGCAAGTTCAACTTCTAGCTGACTTTCATCAGATCAAATTAAAGAAAATAGAAAAAAGTAATTGATATCAAAGAATAATTTTTTTTCGATGTTAATGATAACAATGTACTTCAACTTTTGTTGTCATTTTATAGTGTAAGTTTTTATACTATGTACACATGTTTATTACGCGCGATTTCAAAACTTACAAATTTACATATTTTTACCAGAGACATACGCACATCATTTTTCTTTGACCTTAAGGCAGTATAATCAAAGGG